CTTGTAATATACAATTTATTACATTCATTTATAACACTTTCTTCGTTGATAAGAACTTGCTACTTTTACAATGGATTCTCTCTCTTTCCTATTATCAAAACCTACACCATCATTTTATACTCCCTCCGCCCACTATTATCTGCACCAAACGTCCTTTTTGCGAACTCCTAGGCAAAACTTTTAGTGGAGTTTAATTAAGGTTGAGTGGGTTTAATTAAGTGGGAAAAAAAAGGGAAAGAAGTGGTCCCCTTTTTTTTTGTTTTTGGGTGGATTTAATTAAGTGGGAAAAAGGAGGGAAAGTGGTGGTCCCTTTTTTTCTTTTTTTTTTTTTTTGCTGGAAATTAGTCCCAAAAGAAGAGGGAATGTACTTTTCCCTCTTAATTTTGTTGGAAAATTTTGAAATTTCAGATTTTCACCAAAACTTTGAATTTTTTTTTTCCAATTTCACTTCAAATGTTTCCCTCCAAGGGATAATTAAAACCAAATCTGCCTCATATAAAAAGGCAGAGAGCATTCATTGTTGACATTCATTACAAACCAACCCACCATGGGCATTAACTACACGTTTAAGTTTGTTCAAAAGAAACCCATTAATTACATTCATAATTAGTCAAAATATTAATTGCCTAAACTGAAATTAGTCCTAAACTAAGGGCAGCATTAGGGTTCCGCTTCATCACCACTTCAAAAAAATTTCAACAGCCAAAAAACTTCATCACCATCCTTTAAATCTGCAAAAACAACAAACAAAGGACACCAAACACATGGAAGATTTCTTCGATCAGGAATTTTTTGATGTAGAGCAGCTACTAAATGAGGGACCAGTTCAGTACAACAATGACGATGAGAGCATGGATGATGATGCTGAGTAGGACAACAGTGAAGGGGAAGAACAAGCGGTACCATATGTGACAAGTAGGAAGTAGTTAATTGTGCAGCAAAAACGCCAAATGGTTGATGACTTACTTTTGAACATGCATGGTGGGGAATTAACAAGAGGGTTTTTGTCACAAATGGCAAGAAAATATGGCATTCACAGAAGCACGTCACTGATTGTATGGCCGTTTGTTAAGCAAAGTATAGCACAAGGGAATGTCATTGATGTCAGGAGCAAAAAAACTGGTCCCAAGCCAAGAGATATTTCTGATGAGTGGTTGCAGTCAGTGCCATTATACAAAAGGACAACATAAAGGAGTTATGCAGCTGCTCTGAAAGTGTTACATGGATTTCTCCATAACTTGAAGAAAAAGGGCAGATTAAGAACACATACAAGCACCAACCATCCAGCATTGTACTCACATCAAATCACAAAGTGGCTAGACTGAAGTGGGCATTAGGGCATATTCACCCTATTCCAGCAGTTGGGGATCCAACTTTCATGGACATGCAACAGGTTATACACATAGATGAAAAATGGTTCTATATGAACCATAAAACAAGGAAGTTCTACCTCCTACCAAAGGAAGAAAACCCCTACAGATGTCAACAGTCTAAGAAATACAAAATTAAAGCTATGTTTTATGGGGATGATTGGTAAGCCACTGTATGACATCAATGGAAATATGCTACATGATGGTAAGTATGGTATTTTTCCATTTACGTACAAGCAAAGGGCTAAGAAGAAAAGCAAGAACAAAGATGCAGGGGTCATGGGGACAAAGGTAGTGTAAAGTGTGACCAAAGAAGAAATCAAGAAAATGCTCATGAACAACATCATTCGAGCAATTCACATGTAATGGCATCCTAGTCTTTCTAAAGACATATTCATCCAATGGGATAATGCAAAGCCACATCAAATTACCAAGGATAAGGAATTCATTGCAGCATGTACTGCTAATGGTTTTAACATTCAAGTGGTGTTTCAACCACCTCAATCTCCAGATCTTAATGTCCTAGATTTTGGTTGTTCAAGGTCATTCAATCTTTGTAATACCAGTCCTTTCCCACTACAATAGATGAACTAATAGAGAAAGTGTATGAAGCATATGAGTGGTTTGTTACAATATTGAACAAGTACACATGGATCACTTTGCAAGGAGTAATGAAAAAGATTTTAGAGAAACAAGGAGGCAACAACTTCAATCCACCTCATATGGGCAAGAAAATGTTGGACCACCTAGGTCTGCTACCTGACTGTTGGAAGTTGAAAGGGGACTCATTCAACAGGCAGTTGACCACCTCAACACACTTTTTATTCCAACAGATCAAACCAATGCAGACTACAGTCAGATGGAGGTGGATGCAGACTAGGTACAACTCATGATCAGCATTCAATCAGAACATGACTTCCACACATAACCAAACAAGGACTCACAACAGGTTTTTGTCTTAAGTAAGCTATTGTTTTTTGTTAATGCTTATTAAGGTTTGGTTATGTGTAGTTTAGTAAATACACTTTCTTATTTTTAGGCAGTCATGTAATGAATGATTTGGCCCTTTAATTTCTTAACATGTAACTTTTGGTTTTGTAATGAATGATTGTGAAATTGCAGCTTGAAAATGAATTCCATCAGGGAGGTTACTTTAGTTTCAGTGAGATGTTGTAGGTTGTTACCTCAACAACAAGTTTAAAAGGCACTTGTTGGAGCATAACTAACCTACACATCCAACTCAAAGTGAGTCCGTTCATCATTTGGAATTTTTACATACACATAACCCTTTATCAGGGACTCATACACAAAGGCACATGCAATGACTTGCAACAACTACTAGTCAACAAGCAAATGTGACTATAAAGGCTACTTGACATAGCTCATTATTCATCAATCATGCATTCCCTTGGCCAATAACTGAACTGAGTAACTACAGGCAGACACACAATCCAACACAGTCCAGCAGTCTACACAAACAACCATCCAACATAATCCAGCATCATAAACACAATCATACATAAACAGCGGGCTACTTAAACAACCATCCACCACAATCCACCAGGCTACTTAAAGCCAATCTAATACATGGATCAGCAAAAACAACCAACCAGCACAGTCAACTAGCATAATCAAGCATGAAACAGTTGTAGGGACTCACATACAGTCATTTAACATGCTTTTAAACAATGATGACCACCAAAAATTACATAGTAACCAAATCAAAATGAAATCAAAGCAACCAAATCAAAATTTATCAGGCACTTAACAAGTAGGGTTTAGCAATAGTTACGCTGCAATATCAGCTAGTGGGAGGGAAGTCATGAGGGTATTTGTCCCTTAGATAGGCCAGGTAAGCAGGATCCCAATCGTTGTAGTCCTCAGTAAAAATGGATATGACTCGTTTCTTCCCACTGGAGGACCCATCGGTGTCCGGAGCCTTAAGGGACTCAGGGAAAACTTCATTTAGCCCCTCAGGGGAGTTAGGAACCTCCACCACTACAATGGATGCCTCAGGGCCACCTAGCTCCACCAGATCTGGCTCCCTAGAAAGGTCTTCCTTCACAACAACCACCTCAGAAGGGCCCTCCTTCAGAACAACGGCAGCAACATCCTTCTGACCACCTTTTGCCGACAGATCTAGACCCACTATAAGCTGAAAAGCCTCTTTCTTTGGTGCATCTGCGCATAAACCCTGCTCATCTTCTTCATCACTCGAAGTGTACTCAGCGAGTTTCGCCCCAAATTTTCCAAGGGTGAACCTCGAAAACGAAGCAGAGCACCAACGAACTTGTTTCATGATTCCAGTTCCTCGCTGCGCCTTGTAACGTGTAAAGGGAGGGTCAGCCTTCTTCTCACTGCCTTGAAGGGACTCATTTGGATCTGGGTTAGAACTCATTGTTTTTGGAAGAGAAGAAGAAATTGAACTTAGGGTTTGACAAAGAAAATGAGAGGGAGAAGAAAGTACAAAGAGGAGAGAGAAGAGGGAAAACCAAAGAAGATCTAGCTAGGGTTTGTGTTGAATTTCTGGAGAATTCTCCAGATCTTATTCAAACTAGGCAGCATCTTCGAAAGGAATTGAATGCAATTCATTTAATGGGGTAGTTGGGGAGATGAGTGATTGTTGATGAAAGAGGGATGGAGGGGGTTAAATTTTGGTGGGAATCATTAAATTTACTGAAATAATTAGTGGGTAAGTAAGTGTAATTATAAGATGTTAAACACAGTTAAAAAAAAGTAAGGGTAAGGTGGTCATTTTACTCTTAAAAATTTACTAAAAATGGAAAGAAAAAATTTCTTAATTTCCGTAAATAGGAACAACAATAAGGGATAAAAGGGACTATTATAATAATAATAATAATAATAATAATAATTCACTTTTGCTCCCTACTCGATAATTTTCCTTAAAGTTTGCATACGGCATACCTACTGTTTCGTGTGAAAACAATGGGACCTTGTCGAAGGTCCGATGAGGTGGAGAAGACTGGATTCGGTCCAAGTGATGTTGGGCCGAAGGTTTCCTGCACATTAAACACACGTAAACTAGCCTCGGGGTGTTGCCGAGGAAGGCCCCTCCGATGCTAAAGTCAGTACAGTGTGTAGAAAGAGAATGCTATGCAAGAGAATTAATTGCTTGAGGCTTTGTTTGAATGAATGTACAAATGTAACATTGATGGCTTTTATACCTTTGCATATATGGAGAAGTTGGGCCTTAGCCCAATTGACTTGCCTTGTGGACTGATCTTGACTTTAGCACAATTGGAGAGTTGAACCTTAACCTTGGGCTTTTAATTGGATCATTTAATGACTAGGCCCAATTGGACTAAATTGGCCCCAAACACCTACTATTGCAAAATGCAAATTATTACAGATAGAGTAAAAACGAAAATAGTTTAGAGTTTATACTACTATCAAAGCATTATCAATTAACGACATAATTGAAGTTCATGGCATGCATGCTTATTTGTCCATGGCCCGATTCATGGGATAGCATTTGTTTTAGAAAGTAAAATATAACTTTGGGATGATTAAATTTTGGCGAATACTTGATCAATATTTGTTTTTGTATGTGTACGCTTTTTTAATTAAAGCAACTTTTATTAAGGCACTCTTTTGTACAAAATGAACGAATTCAAACATAATGACTTACTCAATTTTATTTTTTACCAGAAACAAATACACTGATACACATCTTGTTCACCATATATAAACCAAAATTTTATATTATTATACACACACAATCCGTGCATAAATTATCGATGTGCTCGGCCTTCTTGCATTGGCTTCTTGTTATACTTGAAGATCTTTAACTTACACAGCTTCATCCTTCAAAGGCACATATTCTCCAAGGTACTCGTCAAGATGTTTAGCCAATGAGAATTTGTCAATACTTTCATGGTGATATGATTTGCACACAAAATAGAAAACTGTTTGGGCAACAAGACTATTAAGGGTAAGCAAACTCCCTAACACTACTATACTTATACCAACACAAGTTCTCTCTATAATTCCAAAACCATAATATTTTTGAAGCAATACCATAAATGGCATTGCAAGAAGGTTTAGCACCAAAAGTAAAGCAAATGAGGTTCCCATTTTGCCCTTGATCAACTCTCTACTCTTTTTCAAGGCTTCAAACCAATAATACTTCTCTAATACTGAAATAACATTAGCCAATTGCCATATCATAACCATGAAGAGTAATCCCACCATGGCTAAAGTAGCAAAGATGAACCCTATTATGGCCATTCCTATCCCCGCTTTGTAAAACAACGTGGCGAACACGATTGCTACTATGGAAAGAATAAAAGTGTAGGTAAACATTATGCAAAAAAGGCATAGAAAAGTCATCATGAGCCGCTTCCATATCTTTGGAACCACACTCACGACCTTTTTAAAGGTGAAATCCTTGCCCGTGTATATGCAAGCAACTGTGTAGACGACAGCTGAGGTGGTAAGTAGAGATAAGGATACAGAAAGTACAACATAGACCATGTTGATAATCGAATATATAGCCCATTCAGAAGAGGTCGAGTTGGAAACATTGCTTAAAGACGGAGAACCATCTTGGTTGATCATGGACTCATGAATCATCTTGTTAATGAGAAACTTAGAAATTCCATCGTTGGCGAAGAAAAGACAATATTGAGGGAAAATAAAAGCAAGGGTGATTTGGAAAAAGATTTTAGGCCATGACACAATAGTTTTCAATGATTTTTTCAAGATGCCAAAAAATCCTAGGGATTGAAAATCCTCTTGCTCAACATCCATGACTTTAGTTTGGAAGTGATTTTGGATGATAAATTTTTGGGTTATTTTCTAAAAGGCTCTAATTTGTATCATAATATATAATGGAGTTGATTGGATCGATACAAATCATTTCATTGACTTGGAAAATTATATCAAATGATCTACGTGAGTAGTTTCCTATGCTTCTCTTTTGACTGGATTAATGAATTTTTGACCAAAATCCTTATCAATTATTATCAAAAGGAAATTAATAATATGTCTAATATGTTAATGCGAATGCAAGAAAAGTTCTATTCATTATGATAATGACTTCTTTTTTTCCTTTTAATATATTATTTCCGTTTCATATTATTTGCAACAATTTGACATAAAGTGTGAGTAGAAAATATCTAATCGTTGCAAATAACATGAAACAGAGGTAGTATATATATTTTGTGTTTTTTTTTTTTTTTAAAAAAAAAACAATAGAATTGGTCAAGGAGTGAAAACAAATATTTTTTTTTTAGTTAAGAAGAGTTGTGTTATCGATACAAAACATCTCATACGTGAAACTGATGGCCTGAGTTAGTGGGCTAGACTCTTTGATAGTGGGGGTGAGGAAATAGGACGGCTACACTATGTCTTTTACCGGCATAGGGTAATCTCTATCCTCAAAGTAACCTTAATAGGATTTACGGAGTAAACCCTAAAGCTTAAGGTTTGGAAATGTTTTATACTAACCACTAAGTCAGCAGCTCAACACTTGATTCATATAGAGTATATAAAAATCAATCGAGTTCAGGCTAAAAAAGTCAATAATGACAACTTGTTGTCTTTTCCATTTTCCTCTAAGTACATTTTAAATCTTTAATATTACTAGGTCGGCTAATTAACGCTCGCAATGTGCACGTCATATCTAGTCATACCTGAGAGTCTTATTTTAAGGATAAACATGTAAATAAACATTTTAATGGGCATAATTGTCTCAACACTATTTATAAGTGTTTAGTCATACTTTTTAAAGGTAGGGATTAATATCTCTAATCACGTATTAGTACTGTAAAAGTTATAAAATTTTAATATTCTAAAAATTACTAATCGAGACAAATCAAACAAGATTTCATTTGATCATATTTTTAAGTTTTATCTTATATATTGAAGAGAAAAAAAATTAGAACAATACTGTAAATTGTAAGAGAAATACTATAATGTCTAATTTTCAAATGTTAAAACATGTAGGATAAGGGGGGAATCATAATTTTGTTGCTCCATGGAGTTTTTTTATTCGTTTTTGTGGGAGTTAGCCCGTGAACAGCCCAACAACACAAACACTTCAACTGTTTAATCCAAATTCATGCAAATGCAAGGCCCAACACCGACACTCTTGGCCTTTAATTAATTGAAGGAACTTTTCTACGGTAATCGTGCGCTAATCAATAACATAATACTAAAACAGACATTGGGAATGACATATGTCACTTTTTGGTGTCGTTTTTTTCCTCCAAAAAACAATTTCCAAAAAAATAAAATAAAATATGTTAACTTTATTTTTCTGTTTATATCTTTTTAATTGACAACTCATTTCAGACAATAAAATTATATTTTGTACATATTTAGTTTATATATTATAATAGAAATTATATTAAAGATTCTTACTACCAATATTAATATTATTTGTGATATTTTTCTGATATATTAGAACCACATGGATTTAATTTATGGTACGAAATAAAAAAAAAAATTACGTTATATTGCATCAAATTGACTTTAACGCATAAATCTATATTATTATATCAATAACTATATAGTAAAGGCGAAATTAGAAATTTTCCTGCCTTTTTCTTCTTTTCTTTTTTTTTGGCCAAATTTTAATGACATCAATTTTATAACCCATAATAATACTAATTTCCATATTGACAACATATATAATCCAAATAACTCAGCAGATTTCCATTTTGACAACATATTTAATCCATATATACTAAAAAAAATTTACATATCTTTTATATAAATTAGGAAACTTTTAGTTACAAAAAAAATACTAATAATGATTTTAAAAAAAAGGTATTAGAATAATATTTTTATCCAAGTTTATTATATTTTTATCATTTTTTTTTTCTCCAACTTTCAGCATTTGATAATAAAATTTATTTTAATCAAAAAAGAAAATTCATTTTGTTAGCATACTTCGTATAAATCTTAAGATTATACACAGCGTTCATGTGGACAAAATCTAACCTTTTTGTTATATAATAAATGTTGGAAAACTCAACCTAAAGTAAAAAATAAAATAACCTAAATTTTCATATTATGCCAGTCAAAGTAGTGTGTCAACAGAATAGAGACAAATGCATATGAGTACGTATATGGATACTAAAATATTTTTGTTTTCTTATATAGAACGTTATATCTTCTAATTTCTATTATCATTTTTTTATACAATCCAATGTTTTATTGGTATAAATTAAAATTCAAGCTTTTGTTAAAGATAATTTTTTGGTACATTATTGTTGAATTAAAATTATTATAATAATTTACTTGTTGTATGTAGAATTTAATTAAAACCGTGCGTGGCACGGGACTTAAGGTAGTGAATCATCTAATGCAAAGTACCTACGATTTATAAAAGGAAAATGCTACAAGGGTTATATATAAGAAACTAAATAAGGAAAGATTTAGAAAAAAAAACATTCCGTACGTATTAATTATACTGATTTACGCGTGTTTTTGTTCTGCAATCCTTAATTTATATTATTTTAGAAAGTGTATTTAATGTTTACATATATGCAACCCTTAGCACTGCATATTACCCTTTATAAATTGAATTGCGCATGTAAATTACAATACTCCGAAACAATTACAAGTAATATCACTTTGTTTTAGTACTCCGTACTACATATGTGGTAAGACTTAAAGAGTAATGGACTAAAGAATTTACTTCGTATACTACTAATAAAGTAGAGTAATGTTTATGATAATAAAAGTTTCTCTGAACTGATTAAACGTTATCGTAAAACTGTTTCATGTACATTAATATTACGGAGTATTATAAATCAAGTGTATACAAGAGTTGTTGTTCAAACTAAGGCCCTGTTGATCTGTTCACTTCACCTTAAAAAATTAATATTCAGTAAAAATAATTTCAGTTTAGTAAAATTAATTTCAGTTCAATAAAAAATAAGTTGAAAAATAATTTTAGTTCAGTAAAAATCAGTAAACTTAAAGAAAAAATATAATAGCAATTCAGCAAAAATAATTTCAATTCAGCAAAAATAATTTCAATTCATCGAAAAAAAAAATTCGGTTCCTCGAGCCTTTGGCTTTGCTCAACCATTTCCCTTTTAATGTTGCACCATTTCATTTACTAGCTAGAGTAGCTACTGCTTGAGTGCCTGACTATTGCCACCTTTCTTCTTTTCCCACACTTTATCCTCATGTAATCCGCCAATTTCCCACCTCTCATTTTCTCTCTCCAAAAACTAAAAAACACCCAAATCAAATCCCTAAAATCCCACATTTGTCAACCATATAAAAATCCCCCATTTCAAATGGAAGATGAAAAACCATTACTGGGTGCATTCTTCAATGGCGGAACCATTATTCGCCGACCAACATGGGCGTTTCTTTTGCTATTTTTCACAACTTTTGCCGTTTTTACTCTCCCTTTTACCACTAAATCGTTTTCTTATCCTCCTTCTTCTTCTTGGCCTCTTCCAAATCACTCCGAGTCACGGGTTGACCCGGATTCTTGTTCCGGGTTCTTCCGGCCCGACCCGCCGAGGAAGTTTTTTGTGTCAATCACGGAGTTTGGCGGTGTTGGAGATGGTGTAACTTCGAATACCGACGCGTTTCGTAAAGCTATTGGGTATTTGAAACGTTTCGAGAATAAAGGTGGGTCCCAGCTTAATGTTCCTCAAGGAAGATGGGTTACTGGAAGCTTCAATCTTACCAGTAATTTCACGCTTTTTCTTGAAAGAGGTGCTGTTATTTTGGGATCTCAGGCATGTAGTCTTCATAATTCAATTATTTTGATTTGATTTGATTTTTATTTTATTAATTTTCAGTTGGGTTTTTGTAATTGATGATTTGCATGCTTTAATCTCTCAATTGTTTTGGGTTTATGATTGAATTCATATTTGATTAGCTTTTCATGAGATTTAATTTGCTTTTAGTTGATAATTATAGTGAAAGTTTATGCTCTAAATTTAATGATTTGTGCATTTGGAGATCTTAACTTTTAAATAAGATATGATTGATGTATGAGAGAGATTATTGAGTTTGATTATGCTGTTGCATGCTTGATTAGCTGATCAGATTTGTAGATTGATTTTGTTAGATAAAAGAACATGGACAAGTTATTAGTGGTTGAGTTTTGAATTAAAGAATTTATTTTGGGTTAATTGATGGTCTGAATTGTTGTCTTTGCTTGTTTAAACGTAATTCAATTTGAAGGTGTTATATGCTACTATTAGTAAGGTTAATGATCCTCGACGATGTCGTCTTAATAATTACTAGTTAATTGATTTATATGATTTGGTCATTCCATTTTGAGTTTTGCAAGTGCTCTATGATAGTGTAAGCACGATCTAATTGATTATTAGGAGCAATGTCGCTTTCATTGCATAAATTTGAGGGTAATTATGCCTAATTAACGTCATAGTATCTTACTATATTGGTCACCATGAGTTCGGACCATTTTTAAACTATTGATTAGGATCTCGAGCTGCCCTGTTGTTACTTTGTTTCTTTTTTTAGTAGCTTTTTATTTGGATTTTTTTGGTATATTGTTTACTACTTTACTCCATATTATAGTGCTACCTATCGTTATTAATGAAGAGCATAGTTGTGATTTCATTGAATACGTTGAGGGTTATGTTTGTAACTTTTCGTCACACTCAGGTTCTTGTGATGCTCCATGATTGTTGTTCAGGGATATGTGGTTAAACCATATTGCTAATATCATTTCACTTTCACTTAGAGGTGTTGTTTTCATATCCATTTGAAAGTAGGTGGTAAATTTACTTTTTTATCTGATAGTTCATAGTTGTGTATTGACCTTGTCATTTTCAATGACTTCAACTTGTTTGGTACAGGTTCAATAATCACGTGTTGAAGTATTGATGATAATATTTTGCTATATATGATTTGGAGCCTTGTCTGTATAATTTTGCATTTCCACTTTTATGTGTGTATTTTTCTTTATTAATTTTTATTGCCACTCATTACTATCTCTCTTGATGGTAATAAATGATAATGGACATCAGCAATGAAAAATGTATTTACTAGTATTAAAAGTAGGTAGCATTATCATGGATATTTTACATGGATGACATTTCATATACGAAGTAATTGAGTACATTATGTATTACTGTTCCAACTTTGTAGCAAGTTAGCCTTGAGTACTTCCACTCTCTTAAAGTGGAATTTAACTTCTGATTTAGATATGTGGCGTAGTAATGGTTTAACTTTGGAATTGGAACTTAAGTTAATGAAGAAGCCCATATCGTCTGGTCTCGCTTCTGTGAAATTTTGATGCTTGTACCTAGAAACTTTCTAGGGTGGGACAAGTAATTTCCTGCTTAGTTTTGTTGTTGTTCTTATTATTTTTTTTTTTTGGGTATTTTTTTAGTCTGAGTTATTTATTTCTTAAGCAACAATTACAACTTTCCTTACGTAGTGAATGTTTAAGAGTTGCTATGGACTGCAGTACTGCACTGACTTTATAAGTTGTTTTTCGTGATTGAGTTTAGCGTTAATTATTAAATCAGCTGCTCCTAAATATTAGTTTGCTTTTGTATCAGTAGGATCCAAAGGAGTGGCCGATCATTGAGCCTTTGCCATCATATGGAAGAGGAAGAGAGAGGTTAGGTGCCAGACATATTAGTCTCATCCATGGAAACTCCATCAGCAATGTTGTCATTACAGGTATCAGTGTGCCCCTTGATTATAGTTTTTTATACCTTAACTCAAACGAACTGGTTAAAATCCACAAGGTTCAGTGATTCAGATCAGATGAGCAAGTTACCAAATTAGCATGTTCCAATTTCAAGTTGTACCAGAGTCTGTCTGTTTGCATTGGTTCCTTACTATAAGCTGTGATATTTTCTAGCAATATGTTGACATCTCATTGGTCTTTTTACCGTTTTATTTCCAGGACAGAATGGGACAATTGATGGACAAGGAATAATGTGGTGGGATTTATGGTGGAACAGAACACTGGAGCATACTAGAGGCCATCTTGTAGAGCTTGCTAATTCTCATAATATCCTGATTTACAACCTCACATTTCGAAATTCTCCATTTTGGACCATTCATCCTGTGTACTGCAGGTTCGTACAGCCCTTGCAATCATATTCTATTGCCGGCAGTGATCTTTGAGGAATCATAAAAATAGAGTCATGAAAGTGATAGTGCGGTGCTATTGATTTTTTTTCCGTATAAAGTTGTTGCCCTCTTAGAAAATAAGGGCACCAAATTTATAAATCTAAGTCAAATAAAATTATCATGCAAGAGTTCTTCCTACATGCTACATTCCTAAGGATGGGCATTAGCATAGTTTTAGCAAATTCACAGGGATGTCTTTTTGTTGCTTCAGGCATGTTGTAATCAGGAAGATGACAATATTGGCTCCTCTAAATGCCCCAAATACAGATGGTATAGACCCAGGTAATGTGGCAAATTTCTACAAATTGTTTTCTGCCTATTGTCTTTTTCGATGTTAAACGAAAAAAAAAAAAAAAAAATTCACTGTCCATGATAATTCAAGAATGGCAATTGAAACTGCAGATTCAAGCACGGAAGTGTGCATTGAAGACTGTTACATTGAGAGTGGGGATGATCTTGTGGCTGTGAAGAGTGGGTGGGATCAATATGGCATTGCTATGGCACGTCCCAGCTCAAACATAATAGTGAGAAGAATTTCTGGCACAACTCCAACATGCTCAGGTGTTGGAATAGGTAGTGAGATGTCTGGTGGAATATTTAACATAACCATTGCTAATATTCATGTCTGGAATTCAGCGGCTGGGGTCAGGATTAAAACTGATGTTGGGCGAGGAGGATACATAACGAATATCTCAATATCAAACCTAAGATTGGATAGAGTAAAAATACCCATTAAGTTCAGTAGGGGTGCTAATGATCATTCTGATGACAAGTGGGACCCAAAGGCCATTCCCAAAGTTAGTAAGGTGTTTATAAGTAATGTAGTTAGCTTGAACTCAAAGAGAGCACCTGAAATACTTGGCATTGAGGGTTCACCCTATGAAGGTATATGCATGAGAAACATAAATATTTCTGGCCTCCCCCCGTCAGCTAAATGGCACTGTGAACATGTTTCGGGTTTTGCAAGCGAGGTGTTTCCACCTCCATGTCCTCAGTTTCAAGCTGATAGTTCATCATCATCATCATGTGGGTTCACATGAATGTTAAACTAGTTCCCAAGTTATCAGGCTTCTCAATCATTTCCTGCAGTTGATGTCAAAAAGGATCATAAGTTCATAATGGTGAAAATTTGAAGACACAACAGAGGCTTGAAGATATTGGCTTATACAGTATCATACCATACTTTGAGGGCTCAGAAGCAGAAAAAATATCTTTACTGATGCAACATCAACCAGCACCTTCCAGGCCAAGTGAGCTTTTCTGATTTTAGAAACCACCAAGTTTTTCTTATGACAGATACAGATTCCAGCCCGGTGGTTCGCTTAATTGTATTATTATTCGTTCAATTTTTTGCACATTTCTAACTTGTGATGACTTTGGAACACTTATTCATCTCAAGGAGAAATACAAACATCGATACTTGTACATGTTGAGTAGAAATTATATCAGAGCCGAGAAATCTAATTATGAATTACCAATGAGTTCCTATTGATCTTTACAAAGTCTGGTCTATATATGTCTGGAATTAGCTCATATATCCTGCCGATCCTTAAATATGTGTATGTGGTATATGTGATTTATATTTAATACGAAGTATAAATAGTAGCATATTGAGAAATTTAATTATAAACCATTACTTCCACGGTTCCACCTGTTGTGCCAGCAGCCAATTCCGATGAGGAAGAGCCTCAGCCAAGCAAGGAGGACAGTGAGGATGGAAAAATGGGAAGGCCAAATCCCGTAAATGAGAATGGGCAAACTAGCCTAGTGTATACGAGTATGCTTACCCTAGTGGTCTAGTGTAGTAGTGTGTTAGTGAATTTTGGATGGTTAGTCCCGAATATGATGTATTATATTACAGACTTTCAAGTTAATTAGGTTTCAATGATTATATAGTTATCATCTCCACATGTATGCCGCTTTGGGCAGTAGCAAATTTGAAACAAGAAATAGTTACAGTTCACAAAAACGCGCAATGGACTAATTTGCTCTAATCAATACTTAACCCCTCGTCTTTTTCGGTTTTACAATAAGTACATGATACATGAGATTGAAACTAGAACGTTCAACAAGATGGGAAAATGAATTTGAGGGTTTTTATACATTTCACCACTTCCAGAATACATTAGAACCGCACTTGAATTTGTCCTTGCCTTCACATTCCAACTCCAAATCCTCAGAAATGAAGGGTACTTTCTGCAATCAATAATCAGAAAATAGGTGTTAGTAGATTTATAAGTTTGAATATTGATAAATTTATTTACTAAATTACTATATTTGTATAATAAACCTTTTGCTTGGCAAGATCTTGGCAGCCTGTAAAGTTTTGTGGGAAATTGCAGGTTCCAAATTGTACTGTGTATGCTCTTGCAAAGTTGGCTCCACTTGTTGCCAACCTCTTTTTGTCATTCAATTCCTGATAAAACAGTTTAACATCATCTGTGTCAATAAGTATGATCATCATATATAGGCCGAGCTGAGTTTGACCCCATTTTCCGGCTTGGCCTGCCATTAAGGGGGTGCTTCCCACCTCGGAAAACTTTACCAACTAAACTAGCGGACACTAACTTTTGGCATAGGTTACGAAGAAATGGGAGTATCAAGATAAACAAAAAAGGAACTAACCTTGTTAGCTTTGCTCTTCTCAAGGTACTCTTCAATGACTCCAGCATTAGCATTGGAAGAGAAGGAAGTGGCAACAAGAGCAGCAGCCAAGCCGAAAACAGCGGCTCTTCTTCCTTCAATGGCCTTTTCTTCCTTTTGAGCTTGTGCCTTGATCACAGGCAGTTTGTCACTGCCATTCAAAGATGATGGTGCCACACAACACACCGAAGACGCCTTCGAGCTAAGCTCTAAGCCCCCAGCCCCAGAGATGGCATAGCTGCATGCTAGTACACTAGAGTTCATTGAAGCCATTTTAACAATGTTTTTGTGTGAGCCTTTTTTTTTTTTTTTTTTTTTGGGTGTGTTTTGGTTATTAGGAGAGATAGAGGGAAGGTTTATGATTAAGAGTTTAGGAGTGATGTGGAGGGATGAAGATGAAATGTAATTAAGGGTTTGTGGTGAGAGTGTGGATAAGGTGAGATTGCCTCATTCTCATTGGCAAATTATCTTTGTTGTGGTCATGTATCTTGCCTTTGTGGGGCTCCCTGAGAAATGGATCAAAGTATGTGCTTCTTATTCCTCATTTCTGTCTTACTTTGGAAATATGATCATATGTAATTATTGTAATATGTTACGCCACTAAATTTCAGGGCAACACAAATTTTGTTGAAATTCATGATTTTACTTTTTCCGTTCTCTTTTAATTGCAACATGAAGGGATACACGGTATTTTAGATCTTAGAAGATGAGAATGATAGAAAGAGATTAAAAAAAATAATAATAAAAAAAAAAGAGAGAGAATCATATGATGATGAGAAAAATAGAGAGAATCATTGTCCACATAAAACAATGTCGCAATTAGTTTGCAACTTTTTAAGTAAAAAAGTATGTTACGATAAAAAAAGACATAGTACGGAGAATTATGTTTGTGGGATTAGTTTAAAATGTAATCGTGTAGCATACCGGATATTTTGAATATAGTTTACTTGAATTCCCCCTAATATGAACTTAATGGTCAGTTTATTAACATGTGTTTATTTTTGTTTTAATTATTAAAAGGAACTCATAAAATTTACGAAAAATGAAGTACTCCGCTTTGATATCATATACTAGCCTTTTATGTTATACCATCTCCATCATAATGTATTAGGAAAAAAAATGAAGAAAATGTGAGGGTTTTGGCCCCTTCTATGCAGGAAAGACACATTCTCAAGAGACTTCAATAACTACTAGTAACAAGAGACAATGCAGCTCAACCTTACTGCTATTACAAAATTAGTGATCTTATAACCATGATTAGTATCCATATAAAACCACATACAAAGTAAACTTTCGGAGAAGAATACACGATATACACAGGGTTCAGCACAGTGTTAACATCTTTTGTAACAGAAAAAGGGGGGCTATCAACATCATCTGCTGTGATAACAGAAGAAATTCCGAGACACATCTACATCCAACCTGTTAAGCCTAACTGATCAGCAACGTTGTACATAACAAGTTTGTTCCAAAGTGACCCAAAAAGGTGTTCCCCTCCAATTGAGAATGTTAATGCCCATGAAGACAACAGTACAGTGGCAATTGAGCACCCAATAGCTGATCCAACAATATCTGCAGGAAAGAGGAGCTATTAAATAATGCAAATGAGCCTGGAGAAATAGTGCAACATCAATTACTATGGAACAGAGAAGGGTGTATTGAAAGAACAACAGTGAGCTTCAATTCTTATTATATGGAAAATGCACGATGACTCTTCATTGAAAAAAAATAAAAAAGCTCTGTTTGTTGGAGGATCTCGTTCCATGATTTCTAGCCATTGCATAATGAATGGGCATCGACAGTAATACGAAGTATTAGAAACTAACCCTCTTTTCCCCATAGGCAATAGGAACAAAGTTGGCGAAACTGCCACAATAAAGCTATAACAGGGAGTAGCAAAAATGATGCTTTGAAGCTGGGCAATATAATCCATGCCTAAAGACACTAATCAGAGAGTGAATGCAGTTATTTTACAGCTTCCCTGTCACAATGTCCACTTGGTTTCTTCCTTCAGTTACATCTTGAGGCTTCTGGATATTTTTGTGTATATCCTAAAATCTAACAAACTCTGGGAGTCTGGGTCCTAGAAGAATAAGCAACATGTTATGCTTAAATCTATTTAACCTTAGTAGCCTACACAATTAGCAGAACATTTGCTGAATGTGTCCTAGAATCTAATTTCTCAGAGCAATGTTCAGATAACCATAACTCTATAAGAACAAAGCATGACCATTCAAAGGATGGATGAAGAAAGGGAATTTTCCAGCGAAGTGATATTTTCAATATAGGACAACATCCAAGAACGAGTCCTCTCCACCTCCTCGGCCTCTCTTTATTTGGTGTGTGTGCAGAGAGAAAAGAGGGGGGGGGGGAGGGTTTTTTCTTACAGACTCATCTTTACCGATGCTGCTGCAGCATAAGTAGATCTTATCTATGATGATCCCATGATCTTAGTATAGGCATGGTCGCATGGATTAAAATGCATAGGGAGGCCCTCAGGCCCCTACCCCAAGATATACAGAAGTCTATTGTCGAAAGACAACTATTTATTGAATCCCTGTTGCGATACATTGACCCTTGAAGACACCTGCTTAAGCTCAACTCCCTCTTTCATAATTCGTGGAATATATTACATTCACCAGATATATTCTATGATTTAATCATTATATAACCATTCTTTATCACCAACACAGTGCCAGTCATGAGCCCATGAAGGCCGTCCTCTACAACAGCAACATTGGGATTCAATTGCTCCCTAACAACCATGATATACACTAGGCTCTATCAACATGACATCTATAGATTGCATAATCCATAAAAAAGAACAACAGAGAATATATGCCGGAAGTGACAGATAAAGCTACTTATCGGCTAGGTTTATTTCGAAATTAACATCGCTATATATAAGAACTTACCTATGAACTAACAGGCTCAAGCATGATGACTGAGAAGAATCCAACTAACAGCCTGATCATCATTGATTTTATTATGACAGATTGGACCAAGAACTTGTTGTTTCAACTCTCACCTTGAGTTCTCATATCCCTCAAAAACTATCTTACAGATTTGTGTGGATCCTTTCAAAGCGATGACCCAAACAATGAAAGAGCTCAGCTGTACCCAGATTTTCAGTTGCAACCTAGTTTGGCAAGCCCTTAAAAGTTACATCGATGATGGCAATGTGATACTTTCATGCCCTAAAACTAGGAAAAGCAAAGGATAGTTCAGACATGATCACATAATCGGCCGCAGGATCACAGTATCACAAACACAAGCTTTCACCATATTGGCCCTAATATCAAATCACTGGTCCGAAGTTTCCTCAGACTGATATCAAATGTGAAAATAACATCCATATTAAAATATGAACACTAAGGGCATTTTTCTTCACAAAGCTGAACTAAACCCAATTCATAGAACCATCCAAATTAAAGTAAGTATACTTAATTGACTAATTCAAGCTACCATTTATGAACATGGAGCTAGGACAAGAAGGGTAACGAGGACATTGCACTACAGGAAACTGAAATCATAAGCAAACCCATTTCATGTAATCTTTGCCTCTTTGGAGCTAAAATGGGTTACTTATATTCCCAATCACAAATGCAACAATTCACTAAACAAAGCTGAAATCAAACGCAAACCCAGTTCATTAAATCATCAAATTTAAAATGGGCATCAAAATTTATCGATCAAAACAGACAAAATTCATCAAATTAAACACACCCAATTCATGAAATTCCAAGAAAAACTTGACAAAATTGAGGAGAGAGAAAGAGGGAATGCATACATCGTCGAATAGTAGGGAAGGAATGAGAATGACGAAGAACAGGCCAAAAGTAGAAGCAATTGACAGCCCAAAGCCAAGGAAGAAGCAAAAATCCAAACTTGTAAAAGCGGCGAGCGTATACAACCGATTCTTCCTCAGAAAGTCCAATTGGACCGTCGATCGTCGGCCAACGAGGTCTCCTAATTGCCGTTGAATTGGCTGAGATGTTGGGATTTTGGAGAGGAAGAAGAGTTGATTCTCCTGAGACTGATGATGATGAACCCCCTTCCCCTGATCTCTCCATTTTTCTTTTTTGCCTTACACCAATATCTAATTACTACAATACTGTATTTATATTGCTGTGATGGGTGTACACCGGTCCAAAACCGGACCGGACCTAGACTGGACCTGTTTGGACCGTGACCTGAATTGGTGAATTTTGAGGACCGGAGACCGGACCTGATTCAACAGATCCGGTTCCGGGTCAGACCTGAAAAACCAGGTCCGATTTGGGTTTGGACCTGAACAGACCTGTTTTTTATTCAAGCCCAAAATCAATTTCAACCCAAAATAATACTTAACCAAAAAAAAAAAAAAGGAGTAGCGCTTTGTTTGCTTCTAGATTATACAACTTGATTGTGCATACTAAGATTGAGCCCAAAGTTTATGGCCTTTATGCTGTTATAGCAGATTAGATGCTACTGAGTCAATGAATATCCAACGAGCAAGGTATGATTATAAATTAAATTCAGTTCATACTGTCATGATTATAAAAACTTGACAGTTATACTATTATCAATTATCATAATTATCATCATCTGTAGTTTAAACAATTATAATTAATCAACATTCGTCATTCAAAATTCTACAGAAAAAAATCATCCAAAAATTGTGGATTGCTAAATATCGCCCGCAAATCTCCACATAAAGCCCACAAATCTATATTGAATTTACCTTATTGCCCTAAACCTAAAAAAAAAATCTAACCCATACCCACACTCTAATCACCCGAAAATACGGCAATGTCGAGGCGGCAAGGCAAGGACTTGGCGGCCACAACGGTGGAGGGAAGGATGGCTCACGGTGGCAAGGTTTTTTTTTAAAAAAAAAATTAAAAAAAAAAACCAGAAGTGGTGGGGCGCCTGGCCAGGACGCCCAGCCCCTGGTGGTGGCGTCTGCTCCGGCCGCCGAAACCAGGGGGCTGGCGTCTGGACGCCCAGCCACGGCGGTGGCGCCTCTGGAAAACGCCACAACCGTGGCTAGGCGTCCAGGTCAGACGCCAGCCCCCTGGTTCCGGCTGCCGGAGCAGACGCCACCACCGGGGGCTGGGCGTCCTGGCCAGGCGCCCCACCACTTCTGGTTTTTTTTTTTTTTTTTTTTTTTTTGTCTAATATTTTTTTTTTGGAAAATCAGAATTCTTTTGTTAATGTTTAATATATTTGTTTTATGTGTTAATGTTTTTATTTCTAATATATATATATATATATATATATATTTTTGAAAATCAGAATTTTTTGTGTTAATGTTTAATTTTTTGTGTTAATTTTTAATTTTTTTGTTTTATGTGTTAATTTTTCATATGTGTTAATTTTTTGTGTTAATAAATAGTGTTTAAATTTTTTACATTATGTGTAATATATTTATTTGTTGAATAACATA